TAAATGCATCACTCACATATCTAAGTTCTTAAACTATGGCTTTCTATCAGGAAAAAAATAAAATTAAAGAGTACATACACATTTAGCCACATATATACACAAGTATATAACACACGCATCCACATATACATGCATGTGTATGTATGTATATATGTGTGTGTTTGTGTGTATATAATATCCCCCTTTGATTCTCAAAAGTTTCTTATATTGAGCAATAAATTACATAACCAATCTATTTATAGGTCTTTATTGAATTAATAAAAAGTATGTTGCCCTGGGGTTGGGGGTGAGGTACAGGGTGGAAGGGGTCAATCTGGAAAACAGAGGACATCTGTAATACTTTCAACAATAAAGATAAATTTTTTAAAAAGTATATTGAAAATAACAAAAATGAAAACATAACATACCAAAACATAGGGATGCAGCAAATGCAGTTATAAGATGGTATTTTATAACAATAAACAATACCATTAAAATAGAAAGACCTCAAATAGACAACCTAACTACATCTCAAATAACTAGAAAAACAACAAACTCAGCCCAAAGTTAACAAAAAGGAAGAAAATAATTAAGATTAGAGCAGAACTAAATCAAATAGAGAGAAAAAATTAAGTGCAAAAAATGAAGAGGTGATTTTTTAAAATAAAATTGAGAAATCATTAGCTAGACTAAGAATAAAAGAGAGAAGATTCAAATAAATAAAATCAGAAATGAAAGAGGAAATAGTACAATAGATGCCTCAGAAATAAAAAGGATCATAAGGAACTATTATGAACAAACTAGATAACCTAGAAGAAATGGATAAGTTCCTAGAAGTATACAAACTACTAAAACTGAATCAAGAAGAAATATAAAGCCTGAACAGACCAATAGCAAATAAAAGGATTAGATCAGTAATCAAAAACCTCCCCACAAAGAAAAGTCCAGAACCTGATAGTTTCATGGGTGAATTATACTAAATTTATTCAAAGAAACAGTTCATTCAAAGAATGAATACCAATCTTTCTTTCTGTTTTTTTGTTTTTAATTTATCTTTATTATTGAAAGTATTGTTGATGTCCAATTTTTTCCCCATTGACCCCCTCCACCCCACTCCCTTCCCTTCCCCAGGCCTTTACCACACAATTGTCTGTGCCCATGAGTTATGCATATATGCATATAAGTTCTTTGGTTAATCTCGTCCTGCCCTGATCCCTTCCCTCTAAAATATGTCAGTCTGTTGCATGCTTCAGTGTCTCTGGGGTCTATTTTCTTCATCAGCTTATTTTGTTCATTAGATTCCACATATTAGTGAGATTATGTGATACTTGTCTTTCTCTGACTGGCTTCTTTCACTTAACATAATCCTTCTTAAACTCATCCAAAAAATATGAGAGAATACTTCCAAACTCATTTTATGAGGCCAGCACCACTGTGATACCAAAACCAGGCAAAGACATTACAAGAAAAGAAAACTACAAGACAGTAACCCCAATGAGCATAAATGCAAAAATCCTTAATAAAATCATAACAAACTGAATTCAGTAGCACATACTAGAAATCCTAGCCAGATCAAATAGGCAAGAAAAAGAAATAAGGCACCCAACTTAGAAAGGAAGAAATAAGATTGTCTCTGCAGATGACATGGTCATATACATAGGAAAACCTAAAGACTCAACAAAATAATTTTTAGAACAACCTAATTCATTAAGGTTGTGGGATACAAAAAATCAACATACAAAAATCAATTGGGTTTCTATACTATCTGTAGCAGTCATTTATTGTACACTAAAATGTGCTAAGAAAGACTTAAGTACTTCCACACAAAAAAGAAGGAAAAAATGTGGTAACTATCTGAGGTGATGGATATGTTAATTAGCTTGATTGTGGTGATTATTTCACAATATGCATGTATATCATATCATCAAATTAAATTATATATACTTTTTAATTGTCAAATATACTTCAATTTTTAAAATTCACTTTTTAAAAGTTATCTTTATTGTTGAAAGTATTACACATGTCCCCTTTATTCCCCTTATCAATCCCCCAACCCTACATCCACCACCACCCCCAGGCCTTCACCACACTATTGTCTGTGTCCACGGGTTATGCATATATGCATATAAGTTCTTTGATTAATCTCTCCCCACCCACTCCCCCACTCCCACCTTAAATTCACTTTTAAGAAAAAGAAAATTAGTGTTTCTGGTGGATAGACCAGATGAACTCCAATGTTCCTTTCAACTTGAAAAGTTTATGATTCTATGATTTCATTAAGTAGATGAGAAAACTGAACTTCAGTGGAGTTCAGTTGCCTTGCCTGAAATAACAGCTCATTGTAGCAGAATTGAGTTCTTAGAGCTTCTATCTCTTAATCCATGCTCTTGGAAGGACATCTTAAATTCCACCTAATTAATTATCTTCTTTTCCTCCTCTAGTCTTCACATCTGTGATTATGAGGTAGTCTGATGTGCAACTAAGTGGTAGTAGCCAGACAACTTGATTGCATAGATCAACAAATAAATTCAAGCTGGCTTAATTATTCTCTAGCTCATGTATAGTGTCTCTATGGCTAGTGGTTTCCTCAGGATGAACACATTTCACACCTGTTGTCCCAGCATAATTACTATTAGCTCCCCATTTCACTGTTAAAGTATCCTAATTTAGATGATATGGTTACCCTACGGAAGGCCAAACATTCTGTAGTAGTGGTTTGACCCAGTTTTTCATCTGTGTTCAAATGCATTTTTAATCTATGTCAACTACCAGAAAAGCCTGTAACGACATACTATATTAGCTTCCTAGAACTGCCATAACAGTCACCACAAAGTGGGAGAATTAAAACAATAGAAACTTATCCTTTCACAGTTTTGGAGTCTTAGAAGTCCAAAGTCAAGGTGTTTGCCCTCTCTGAAGGCTCTAGGGGAGAATCCTTTTTTGCCTCTTCTTAGTTTCTGGTGATTGTAGGCATTCCTTGGTATTCCTTGGCTTGTAGACACATCTCTCCAATCTCTGCTTCTATCGTTACATAGTGTTCTCCCCATGTCTCTATCCAAATTTCTCTCTTCCTGTATGAATACCAGCTATTGGATTGGGGCCCACTCAAATCCATTATGACCTCTTCTTAAGTTAATTACATCTGTAAAGACCTTACATACAACACATACCCATCCAGAGTTGGATGCATCCAAGTTTCCTTATACAATAGGATGCACATAAGGACTATAAGTCCCATCTCCTCAACTGCTAAACCAAAACAATGTCCATTTTACATATTCTTTTATATTCTGTAGCTAATGGGACCACAAAATTCAATATTCTACCCAGGCAGAGCTCTGCATTTCTTCTACTTGTCCTATAGAACCGCGCACATTCTAGGAGAGTTCGCTTGTCACTCTATACTGGAATGATCTGTTTAGAAAGTTGTCTCCTCCAGTAGACTATGAGCTCCTTGAGGGCAAGAACTGTGGCTCATTCATCTCTGTATCTTTAGTATCTTGCTTCATAGATAATGCAAAGTAGGCTCTTAGTAATTATTCGGGGAGGTAAGGAAGTTGGAAAGAAGGAAGATACTTATTAAGTTATAATCTAGTAGCTTAGGAAATAGAAAGGTGTTGGGACCTCAAAGTGCTAAAGCCAAGAATATGTCACTTCCTCAGGACTCTCCACCTTCTAATTTTCTTAAAACATTGCCAGGGTCTCAGCATGCAATAAACATTGCAATCACCTTTAGCTCATCAAACAGCTTAGTATATAGCCAGCATGTCGGGAGAAAGGAGGGATCAAAAAGTACCATGTTCAGGCTATGTTTTAGATGCCTAAATTGATCAAGATTGAATACTTAATGTGCAAGAGCCCTCAATAGCTCTTACACACACACACACACACACACACACACACACACACACACACTACTATCAGCTGGCATCATGGAAAATATAAAGTTCTTTTTAAAGTCTTGTCATGCTTTTACACACTCAACCCATTATAATGTCAAGAAAAAAAAACCTGAATGTGTGTACCTATGTCTACACTCCAGAGGAAGTCAGAGAAGGAAAAGTCAGACATTCATAAGAATTAGAGAATAGATAGAAGAGTTCAGTGCAATGCATACCCAGAACAAACTTGGGAGGTTTTTATGCCTACCTCTTCCCTTTTCCTTCCAATTCCAAAACTAGTAGCTGGTATACCCTGTGCCTGCCCCATAGTCATGAGAGTCAGGCTGTGATAAACAAATGCAGAATGTACAATCATGTTAACAGTAAATGCCAAATCTAATACTGTGAAATAGGACACCAAACATAATGTCATTCCATGAGGGCAAAGACTTTGTCTTATTTATCACTATATTCCCCAATGCTCTGAAAAGTGCCAAGCACATAGTAGTTACTCAGTAAATATTTGTTTAATGAATTTTCAATGGATTAAGTTTATTAACCAGGAAACTACTATAGGCAGTCAGAGCATGGTATTCAGAAAAGAATGCTTGGGCAAAAAGCCTCTGAGATATAATTGTTATCCAGTACTCTGCTCACCTGGCAGCAGTAGGGCCAGGAAGGGGAATGTATATCTCCAGGATGTACTTAAAGCCTGACAAGACCAGAGTCAGACACTTGCCTCCTCCATTTCCTGTCTGGCCGGAGGACCTGGATATTATTGAATTTCCAACCCACCACCTCCTTTTACTGACTACTCAAAGAAAGTCAAGGCCAGGGCTAAAAGAACTAATTTTGCTTAAACTAAACCAATGCAGTGATTTGGCCAAACACTATAAAGATCATTACTCCTGCCCTTAGCTCCTAGTCTAGGATTTACCCCCTATACTTTTTCCCTTTCTAAAACCAGTGGGGGGAAAAACAGGGGTAGGAGATTTGTTAGGTATTGACTCTAAGTATCATTCTTCCTCTTCACATGCTCTGACACCAATATAACTGACCATTTAGCCTTAGCAACAGATTTTCTAACCTTACCTAATTTACCTTTGTAATTAACTCTCTATTCTCTCTGATTTGTTTTAGATACCGACAGCAGAAAACAACCCTTACCTTGTTGGAATGCACTATTGGTATTCCACCCACAGCCCTTGGACCCAACACTGCAATGTTTGTCGGGAGAGCATTCCTGCCTTATCTAGAAATGTTATCACCTGTGAAGGTACCTTTCTGATTTCTTTAGAAAGTGGAGCTAAGTAGATAAAGATAGGGGTAAAGGAGCTCATGTGGCTTTAGTATCACTGACTTACACTAAGTCACTGATTTTAGTGTAAGGTTAACCCTGAGACTTAACAGACTGAGGAAAGAAGATGACAAGAAGCTGGGCATGAAAAGAAATTCTCATGAATCAAAATGGAAGGTTGGGTCTGGGAGCATTGGACAATATGGTCACAAGGGTTGGAAAAACAGAAATCACCTCATTCTTACCATCAATTTCCATTCAAATCAGACAGTAGAAAATTAAAATTCAATAAGAATAAAAAAGAACTGAATCATATAGAAAACAGGCCTATGAAGGTGGGTCAGGACTATTTAGATGCATCTAGGTTCTAACTTTCAGAGAAGCTTAGGGAAGGGAATTCGAATCTTCATTATTACCAGATTTACATCCATATTTTTTCTTCCTCTTTTTCACAGTATGCAAAGTGAAGTCTCACAGATTATGTGCTTTGAGAGCAAGCAAAGACTGTAAGTGGAATACATTGTCTGTCACTGATGACCTCTTCATACCTGCAGATGAAATAGTGAGTACCAACCATGCTCTCTCAGTCACTCTTTTCTACCTCCCCTTCAGTCAAGATACATAGGGGAAGGAAGATTTCTTCCTGTCTTTAGACAACCCAAGTAGGCTTCTTCTCCAGGTTCATGATCCAACCAATCTAGAAGAATTAAATCCCCCCACTCCTACCTGTCATTGCTCACTAGCACTGGAGTGAGGAAGACAGAACCAGGAATAACTTCCTTGGGATTACCTAATGTCTTCCATTGGATAGTATATTATTCCAGCTAACTCTTCCTCTCCTTATAGCTCTAACTTTTACTTCTTGTCTCTTTTTACCCTTCAGAAAACTATGCCCCATCAATGGGTAGAAGGAAACATATCTGTTAGTTCTCAGTGTGCAGTATGTCATGAGAACTGTGGCAGTAACCAAAGACTTCAAGATTTCCGATGTCTCTGGTGTAATTCTACGGTAAGACTCTTCTCATCTCCTTGATACTTACAGAACTTGACTTGTAGAGAAGGGGTGGATCCAGGTTTGACTGTGCCTACACATAGATAAAACTCTCAGAGATTGTTACATCCAAATAGATTATACAGATTCCATAGTATAGAGTTCAGTATACTCCCTTTCCAGATCTGGCTATGGAGTCTCTAAGAGAAAGGTTTAAGACTTTCATCTTTGATGATTCTTAATTGGTGAGGCCTACTAGCAAAAGGGAAAAGCTACTAAGGAAAAGCTGAATTTTCTTATGACAGTCTGGGCAATTAAAAAAAATAAGTCATGAGTCTACTTTTAAAAATCCTCCCTTCCTCATTTACCATTTCCTAGAAACTTGTAATCTTTGTTAATTAGTAATGGTTAATAATATTAACACATTTTTATTATTGCCACTATATATTGAGTGTTTTATACACGTGATCTCATTTAATTGTTACAACAACCCTAATCAAGGCCTCATTGTCCCCATTTACAAATGAGGAAAGTGAGATTCAGAAAAGTGAAGTGATTTGCCCAAGGTCATGCAGCCAATAAGCAAAAGGTTATTGATCCATACATAACTCTGTAAAAACCATGCTCTTAACTACAATGCTAACATGCCTCTAAGCCAGTGATTCTAAACTGGGAGTGATTTTGCCCCCCAGAGACATATAGCAATGTCTTGGAGACATTTTTGATTGTTACAACTCAGGGGAAGAGTTGTAGTGTGCTTCAGGTTTCTAGTGAGTGAAGATGTGGGCTTCTGCTAAACTTCCAATGCACAAGGCAGCACAAACAACTATCTGGCCCAAAGTAACAATAGTACCAACATTGAGGAAGCCTGATCTAGGTTTTCTAGTCTTTTAGATGCTTCTCTGAAACTGATTGTTCTAGACAAGAAAAAACCAAAGAATAAGCTTCTTATTAGAAGATTCTAGTTTCCTTGCCTCCCTGCGCCCCTTGGATGCCATCTTTGTGCTCTCCCTCTGCTTTGATCTAGTTCACCAGCATCTCCTGGAAGGGGCTTGTACCTTCATTGGGTGCCCTGATTTTTGTGGCTGCCCCCAGGAGACACCTCTAGAGCACTTAGATATGAAAGCAAGTGGGGCTTATTGCTCATAGGTCAAACTGTAACCAATGGAGGGGGAGTTATTAACTGGCTATCACCCTCAGGGCACAGCAAGAGGCAATGGTCCGAGAAGTTTAGTCTTTCTACAAAAAGAAAGGATATATTTATTCCCTTTGAGACGACATAGGGAAGACCTGGGGTGGGGCAGGGGTTGGGTGGAGGGGGGCAAAAAGGGGGAAAATGGGAGATATCTGTAATACTGTCAACGATTTTTAAAAATTAAAAAGAGAGATACATGAGATAAAAAGGTGTAAATTGTGGAATCGAAAACAAAATGTGGTGTGAATAGAGTAAAAATACAAAGCTTTAGAATTCATTCAAACTTAAGTCATTATCAACTTTAAATAGCCTTTTTAAAATAAAAGTTATTATATGTAAGTCTCACAGTACCTACTAAGTGAAAACTTATAATATATACACAAAATATACGAAGAAATGAATCTAAGCGTGCCACTACAGAAAATCGTCAATCACAAGGGAAGAGAGCAAGAGAAGAAAGGAACAGAGGAACTACAAAATAGCCAAAAAACAATTGATAAAATGGCAATAAATACATACTTATCAATAATTACTTTAGACAAACATGGACTAAGTTATCCAATCAAAACATATACAGTGGCTGAATGGAGATAAAAAGCAAGACCCATCTATATGCTGCCTACGAGAGACTCATCTCAGATGTAAGGACACCCTCAGACCGAAAGTAAACAGATGGAAAAGTTGTTTTATGCAATGAAAACCAAAATAAAGCTGGAGTAGCTACGCTTACATCAGACAAAATAGACTTTAAAACAAAGACTCTAAAAAATAAAAAGAAGGTCATTACATAATAATAAAGGGAAAAAATCAAGCAAAAGGATGTATTATTTGTAAATATTATATTTATAATATGTGCACATTTAGGAACACTTAAATATATAGAGCAGATACTAACAGAACTAAAGGGAGAAATACAATAATAACACATTAAAATATTATAATGTTAGTAACTAAAGAATTTATATGCATATATGCACAACCCAAGGACATGGACAATGGTGGGGAGAGGAACTGGGGAGAGGGATGGGATGGGGTGGAACAGGCCATTGGGGAGAAAAAGGGACATATGTAATATTTTAAACAAAAATAAAATTAAAAATAAATAAAAAATAAAATTGGTAAAAAAATAATAAAATAAAATAAAATATTACAATGTTAGTAGGTGACTTTAACACCTCACTTTCATCAATTGATAGATCATCCAGACAGAAAGTCAATAAGGAAACATCAGCTTTAAATGACACATTAAAACAGTTGGAGTTAGATATATATAGAACATTCCTTCCAAAAGCAACAGAATGCACATTATTCTTCCCAAGTACTCATGTAACATTCTCCAGAACAGACCATATGTTAGGCAACAAGCAAGACTTAATACATTTTAAAATACTGAAATCATATCAAGCCTCTTTTTCAACCACAATGGTAAGAAGCTAGAAATCAATTACAGGAAAAAGTGGAAAATTTACAAATACATGGTGATAAAACAGCTGGCTATTGAAACACCAATGGGTGAGCAAAGAAATCAAAAGAGAAATCCAAAAATATGTTGAGAAAAATGAAAATGGGACTACAACATACGAAAACTTATGGGATGCAGCAAAAGCAGTTATAAGAGGGAATGTCATAGTGATAAATGCCTACATCAAGAAACAATAAAACCGCAATAAACAATCTAACTTTACACCTTAGAGAACTAGAAAATATTGAAGCCAAAATTAGTAAAGGAAAGAAACTTACAAAGAACAGAGCAGAAGGTAAATGTCTGCCTGAGAAAGATGTCCCCTGCCATATAAGGGGAATTACTCAGCACAAAGGTACAGATGGATGCCCTCTGAACTCTATTCCTCATGCAGCTAGTCTAGTCCACTCTGCCTTCCCTCTACAGGAGCCCAAGGTGAGTGGCTGAACACAAAACTTTGTGTGTTGGCCCTTTAAGAGGGTGCCTGCAATAATGAAATAATAATATAGTTTTTTTCCCCAAAAAATTACTGTCATCCTTATGCCTCAGTAACTCAAAGTGGTAAGACTCTTGCCATAATGCTCTAAGAGAAGCCTAAAAAATTTTGTTGAATAAAATGTGAAGCTTTGTTACTGTAAGGTTAATGAAATGCTGCCTGCTATTAAAACAAAATTTCCAATCACATTATATCCAAATTTACATTACCTCAGGCCTTGTTATTTTGGAATTTCACTGTACTCTTATGGTATGTTAGCAGACCTCTTGACTAATCACTTTCTTCAGTTTTTATTGTGAAAATTTTCAAACACATGAAAAGATGAAGAGTACATATATATTTCCCAACATGATCAATTCAACTCTTATTATTTTCCAATATTGTGTTTATTTATATTCTGTAAAATTGAAGTTAATTCTGTAATTCTCTATAATTGAAGTTAATTCTATTCTGTAAAATGGCCTGATTAGAGTCAGTATTTTAGGCAAGAATGCTTTATAGAAATGCTATGTTGTTAATCACAGTATGTTTTTGTCAAGTTGTCTCACTATTAATGATGTTAAGAGTGGTCAGATAAGAACAGAAACAAATGAAATAGAGACTAAAATGACAATAGAAAAAAATGAAAGAAGCCAAGGGCTAGAATTTTGAAACGATCATCAAAATTGACAAAACTTTAGCTAGACTAAGAAAAAAAACAGAGGGCTCAGATTAATAAAATCAGAAATGACCTGAAACACTAATTTAAGAATATATGCACCCCTGTGTTCATTGCAGCATTATTTACAACAGGCAAGATTTGGAAGCAGCCCACATGTCCATCAGTACATGAATGGATAAAAAAGCTGTGCTACATTTACACACTGAAATACTACTTGACCATTAAAAAGAAGGAAATCTTACCCTTTGTGACAACATGGATGGAGCTGTAGAGCATTATGCTAAGTGAAATAAGCCAGTCAGAGAAAGACAAGTACCATATGATTTCACTTATATGCGGAACCTAAGAACAATATAAACTAACAAACAAAATAGAAACAGACTCATAGATACAGAGAACAGACTATCATCTGTCACGGGGGAGTGAGGTTGTGAGGATTAAGCAAAAAAAAAAGAAAAAACCTCATAGACACAGACAACAGTATGGTGATTACAAAAGGGAAGGGGAGGAGGTAGAAAAGGGTATGGGGGGATAAATGATGACGAAAGGAGGCTTGACTTGGGATGGTGAACATAAAATACAATATACAGATGATGTATTATAGAATTGTACACTTGAAACCTATATAACTTTAATAACCAATGTCACCTTAATAAATTCAATAAAAAGGTAAAAAAATGAAAGAGGAAAAATTACTACTGATACCTAAGAAATACAAATAATTATAGGTTATTATGAACAATTATATGCTAACAAATTGTATAACCTCAAAGAAATGGTTAAATTCCTAGAAACATACAACCTATCATAACAATCATGAAGAAATAAAAAATCTCAAAAGGCCAATTACTAGTAATTGAATCAGCATTGAATCAGTAATCAAAACCCTCCCAACAAACAAAAGTCCAAGACCAGATGGGTTCACTGGTAAATTCTGCCAAACATTCAAAGAATAATTAATACCTATCCTTGTCAAAATCTTCCAATAAATAGATGAAAGAACACTTCTCAACTTATTCTGAGAGGCCAGCATTACCCTGATACAAAAAGCAGATATGGACACCACAAGAAAGTAAAATTATAAACCAATATTCCTGATGAACATAGATGTAAAATCCTCAAGAAAATATTAGGAAACTGAAGTCAACGATACAGTAAAAAAATCATACACAATATTCAAGTGAGATTTATTCCAGGGATGCAA